TGGTAGTAGTGGTAGTCGTAGTAGTAGTAGTAGTAGTAGTAGTAGGAGACAGCAGCAGCAGCAGAGTCGTCGTAGTCAAAGTAAGCAGTGGCAAAGCCTGTTCGGGAGTCTTTGAGCTTTGAGGGTCTGGGGCAGCCAGGGCTCAGCAGGCCAATCACCAAAGCCAGACGCGCGCCTACTGCTGGGTCCCACATCCCATAAGCCGCAGCCATAGCCGAGCAAGAAGACATGAGCCAGAGCCCCCCGTCCGTGCCTGCCATACATCAAGGCGGTGGCACAGCCCAGGGAGATGGCCTGACGGACAACACGAAATCCAGTCTTTGGAGGGTTTCCTACTGCAGGAGGCGCCGTCTCAACTCACGGCAGCAAACGCCACGGTTTTTGTTCGTCGATGTAAGTTCAGCACTTTCTTCCAGGTTCTCTATCTACTTCACTGCTGCTTGCCAGCTGCTAGTGAACTGCTGCTCTGAGTTGCTCGCGGCTAAAACGTGCCCAACATCAGAAGAAATGGCAATCCATGAACATGGATACAGAGCTGAGAATGCCGGCACTTTGCAAGAGAGCCTCCTTAGGCCCCTGCGAGACATGCGAGGCGGCATGGAAAAACAAAAGCTCTTCGTTTGTGGAAATTGATGGGAGCAAAGAACTGTCCTGCACTCTTCGGGCTCATGCCACATGCTTGCGGCTGCAACATCAAGAAGTTCTACAGTTCTACAGTCCACGCTTGGACATCAAAGGTTGGATTCCTTCCTTTGCGTGGTGAGTAATCGTCAACCTCGACGTGGGAGCCAGGGAACCTTCTTCCACTCTCAGCTTGAAGATGGTGACAACAACGGTAACCAGAATGATGTAATACAACCTCGGCTCTAGCCCCAAAAATCTCCAACGCCGTTCCGCGTTCGTGACCCAATGCACACTTTGCCAGTTGGATGGACAGGCGCAAATGAACAAACGAAAGGACAATACCCTTCAGCAGAAAACGCCAGCAGCATCACGGTGACCATGAACCATGGAAATGGACCATTGCCATCACCATCGTCATCATCTACATCACTACCAAGATTGCCCTTATCGATAAGTCTTCATAGATGCAGTTCCTCACAGGCCCAACTACCTCGGACTCAGAACTAAGCTCGAGGCTGCATCTCAGGTTCACTCAGGGCTCGATCACATTGAAGTCTTCTACCGAGGACCTGGGGTTTGGGCCTGCCGGGTTTAGGGTGACAGGTCTCCGAACCTTATAACTAAGACTTACGCCGTCGAAACCGAAGCTGCCAATTGGGGCCTCCGTCAGCTTTGACAAAGCCAAATCCAAGTTCTCTGCCTCCATGGCTTCAGCCGCCTGGGATCTGCTGTGCTGAGACCACCCTAGGCCCTAGGCCTAGGCCCTGCCTGCACAGGCATGCCTGACACCCCAGCTGGCCCACACCCTGAAAGCCTCCAGACCCTAAAGCAAAGACCCGCACTTGGAGGTTCATGGGTAGTTATAACTGGGGTTATAAGTCCCCTAATATGGGTTATAATTACAGTTACCCTACTTATAACCCTGCTTCTAACTACCCATGAACCTCCAAGCACAGTAACATCCTACGTCCCAAAGCCCGGCATTGCCCTGCATCCCCTGCAGCCTGTCTCCCAGCTGCACGGCTACTTGGAACACAAGTCAGGCGCCAGGCAGCTACAGTCACATCTTGCTGTGGCCCCGGGTGGTTTCCATAATTGCTACCGTAGGGGATGAGGTTTCTACAAAGGTTGCGATAAGGGCTACCATGATCAAGGGAGAAGTTACTCTCTACGAAAAGGTATTGAAGTCGCTATATCTCTGTTACTACAATGGAGTAGGTAACCCTAAACCCTACAAACCCTACAAACCCTAAATCCTAAACCAACCCCAAACCCCCAAGACAGTGGATGAGGTAACCCTAAACCCTAAACCCCAAACCCTAAATCTAAACCAACCCCGAACCCCCAACACAGGGTTTGGGGCCCACCCTTGAGGCTTCAGGTCTGGCCTCAGCCTTGAGCTCCGCCTGGCGATCGGCCAAGTCATCGTCCAACTCCTCATTTAGTATCGTATAATACAGTATAATACAGTATGAGACAGTATAATACAGTATAGGATAGCATAGGACATTATAGTCATAGCTGTGTATTTGTAGTTGTATTTATAGTATAGTAGTGTAGTATAATACAGTAAAGTGCAGTATGGGACAGTATAGTAGAGTTCATATGGTATATCAACATAAAGTAGAATATAGAATAGTATAGACTGGACTTTAACTTCCAGGGTCGCGGCTTTTTGGGGCTGGAGAGAATTGAAATTTAGTGTTTGGCATTGAAAGGTTTTGGTGCTTCACGATTTACGACTACTCCGCGAAGTTTGGGAATACTCGGTATTGCAACAGACTCCACATACATTCATGGCTGAAGATTGAAACGTGTTGGAAGTTAGGCCTCGTGCATTTAACTCTCTCCAAGATTCTTTCATGTTCTTGTCTTATCTAGACTGCCCTGCTAGCACGCTGCTCTATCATCGTGGAATGGTACGACACAGCTGACAGATAGTATCACCTGGCATCCTCGTGAATATCTTCATGTGCCAACACACACTATGCCTTTGAGGATATGCCATTGTTGAACAAATTGTACAACTACTGACCAGTGATGCACTGAAGATAGCACTACAGTTACAGCAGTGATAGCATAGGCAGGTACAGACATTCGTTACTTCAAGGCAACTCAGCAACATAGCCAAACGGCACTACGGGCTCCCAACAACTAAGGTACTTCGGACCACCCCCACAAGTACACTATTTCTTGCTATGCCTTCGGGATATGTACTTCGAACCCCACAGGAAATCAATGTAACACCCCCCTCCAAGTACATTAGGTTAGGGAGGGGTGGTCGGTAACAACATCGAAACGCTAAACCCTAAACCCCGGAACCCTAAATCCTAAACCCTAAATTAATCTAAACCCTAAACCCGGAACCCTAAACCCTACATCCTAAACCCTGAAACCTAAACCCGAAACATCTTACTAGGACTGGCCTTCAAACAAAACGCTGCCGCTCCTGGACGCTGTCTGGAGCCATGGCAGGAAACGGCTCCTCTTCCCGCACCTCCTCCTCCTCCTGATGAGAGAGCAGGGTTTAGGGTTTAGGGTTTCGGGGTTTAGGGTTTTTTTTATCACCTCTTTTCCTTCGCCTGATAAGGGCTCCGGAATACCATGTTGGTTGAGGCAGGAACAGGAGCCTGGGACTGCTTCGGGGTTTAGGGTTTAGGGTCTAGGGTTTAGGGGTAGCAATAGCAGCAGCAGCAGCAGCAGTATCCGTAGCCGTCGCAGTGGCACTCGTCGTAGCAGCCCGATATGACTGAACTCTTTTTCCGCGGTTTTTGGGGCTCCGGGATGCTGTGCAATATGGCAGGGGAAATCGGGCTGGGACTGTGAGCTTCAAGCTGAATATAGAAGAAATTATAGGGGCATGAATAATTAGAATAGGGTTTTGGGGTATAAATTTATACTATAATTGTAAAAAGGAGCCCCCAAAAAAGTTTCTGGTCATGTCTTGAGGGATGATGCCTAATGAACAGTGACTGGAGCTACCAATGGAAACCATTCCAGCGCTCGTGTCGCATCTCGCAGAGTATCATGAGCACCGAGCTGACCTTATGAAGGGGCCTCACGAGCTACTTGGAGGCCCAGGGGACTTAGTAAGTCGGTTATAAGTAGGGTTATAATTGGGGTATCTCCAGTTAGGATACTTATAACTCTACTTATAACCTACTTACTAAGTCCCCTGGGCCTTCAAGTAATGCATAGTGATAAGCCCGGGCAGCTTTGGGACTTGGATCAAGGGCTTTGTGCCTCCCCCAGAGCCGCTAGAGCGCGGCGCTCTCGCTAGCAGGCTCAAGTCACAAGGCGTTTTGGCATCTATGCCTCCTCTGCCGCTTCGGCGGATGCCGAGGAGACGCGACACGCGAGAACCTGCAGGCAGCAGCTCATGTTGCATGGAAGCGGCTCCTTGCAGATATCAACAATGGCAGCATTGCCAGCAAAGACTCTGATTTTCAATAAACTTCTTAATTCAACCACGAGCCAAAGCTCAGACTCGGCAACTTGAGCAAGTCTGGGCCCAAGGCTTTGTCCTTCAACGTGATGCTGATCCAGCCTGCAGCACTGACGAGGATAAAAGGTGAAGGACTTTGCGCGGGTAGGAGATACGGTGTGTCTTCGATCGCTTGTGCGATTCTTCAGATCTTGACCATGAACGATTGTGTACCACATGCTAGGCCAGGCTAGACACATGGTCTGTAGGTAGTAGCGTCAAAGGAGGGATACGACAGTTAAGACAAGTTTTGGATAATGGGTATAACGTCCATGCGGATGCAAAAATGTCCGGTGAACATGTGTGAATGTATAAGTACATACATACATACATACATACATACATACATACATACATACATACATACATCCATGCAGGCAGGCAGGCAGACAGACAGACAGACATACGGACAGATGGACAGACAGACAGACAGAGTTGCCATCGTGCTTGTCATGTAGATACTTATAGAGATAGTTCTTTCTGCGCTTGTTTCGTGACTGACGTATCTCATCAGTCTGTTGTCCATATCGACCTGTCTATTTTGGCGTATCTATTTGACATGTCGAACCTCTTCGCTACATGTAGATGTACACGAACTTGCAACTTGAGGTTTCTGCAAGGACAGTGGCTCTTGTCCTGCAAGCGCCCGAATCCTGCCAGCCGATGCGTTCCCTCCAAGTCCGCGACCCTCGTCTGGACCCGTGCCCGTGAGCCGCCGGTATCGGAGGCGCTCGCCGACGAGCTCGAGCTCCTCCCAACTTCTGACTCCGATAAGCTGAGTTGCTGGAACCTTCAGCTGCTCCCCTCAAGACAATGCCGAACCAAGCAGCCGAACGCTTCGTGAGTGAGGAAGGAATCAAGCAGCAGCTTCCTAAACTAACAGAGTATCGGAGCACTCAGAACAGTCCTCCACTATCGCTCCGGTGGACAAGCGCGAGGCTGCCTGGAAGAAAGTCAAGAATCTTGAAGTGTCTCTCAGCAGTCGCCAGAGTCCCATGGTCATCATCAACACTGGTAAACTGCTGCAGCGAACTCAAAAATCATTCCTGCCAAGGAATTCCCCTCAACCTGAAAGCACACACTCGCTCATCTACCACTCTACTGAAAGCACTACACTAGTTTCGTTAAGCAATAGCTGGACCCTAATGCATGCCCTTCTGTCTGCTTGTATATGTTGCAAGTTTGTGTATGTGCATGTGCATCATGTGCATGCTCATGATGTGTGTATTCATGTGCGCACGAACGTATGCGTGCGTGATGCGTGCATGTTTGCCTGCTTGTATTTCCATACGTTGGTATGTACGCATGCATGTCTGCAGGTATGTCTACATGTAGACATGGTGCATGCAGGCTGCTGGGTAGATAGATGCCTGTTCTTAGGTCGGCAGGCAGGTGCGGGCATGTCTGTCGAAAACACACCATCTTGCGCTTCACAGTTCACATTTTGGCAAGGGGGAATCCGGCTGTACAAGTGCGCGTGCATGCAAAGAGCCTCTATGTATGTAAATGTATGTATGTATGTATGTATGTATGTATGTATGTATGACTGTATGTATGAATGTATGTATGAATGTACATATGAATACACATATATAGCGGTTTTTGAATATTTCTATGTGTTCGTGTATTGCATACATGGGAATCTGATGCAGTCTAAACTTCGACCAAGCTTGTAAATGCTTGTATGTACACCTGCACAGGTTAAGTGCCCAGACGTACATACATGCATCCATACATAACCATACATACATACACACATACATACATACATACATACATACATACATACATACATACATACGTGCATACGTACATGCAGAGAGAGCTTTTCAGCTCAACTTATTTAGCTGCATTGCTGGGCACACATAAAGTGCAGATCGATGAATTCAGAGAACTGTAAACAATCGTCCAGGCCATGAAGATCAGACTTGAACAGACTCCCAAGCATAAGACCCCATGCAGGGATGAAAAGCACGACCTTGTGCCCCAGGTCGGTCTGCGCCTCAGGAGATTTCAGCTCCATGCCCTGCCGCACCACGACGCCTGGCGTTGCACACGCTCTGGCCTTGCTTGAGTTTGGGGTCTGAGCGTAGCTTTCGGCCACAAGCTGTCCCAGCGGGTTTGGAGAGGGCTGGATAAAGGGGAAGCGTCGAAGTCTTGCGATTAGGTGACATGAACCACAACGATCGTCTGGAGAATCCTCACCCCAAACTCTTAAAATCCTAAAGTGATGGTGCAAGTCCGCGAAAGCGCCTCCTCTTTCAGCACCGCCTGTGACTTCCCAGCGCTGGCGCGCGGCCGCCGCCTGAGATCAAGCACGGAAAGACCCTGATCATGTGAGGTTTGAGCTTTTCAGGGCTTAAGGCTTGGAGTTTTGGAAGGACATTCCAGGGATTCGCGATGCCTGACGGCCTCAAAAGAGCACCACCAGTAGAGTAGCTGAGTAGCAGGGATGAAGATCAACAGCAGCAATACCATATTCATCATCATCAACGACCCCACATGCATCATCACCATCAGCAGCAACAGCCCATCATGACCGGAACAACAGCCAAAAGTCAGACTGCCAACTAGCTACAGCCCATGGCCATCGCAGACGGTAACGATAATAGCATATGTATGTCCGAGAAAAGAAGGAATGAGAAAGATTGGAACCGAAATGAATAGTGTGACCGCTAAGAAACGATAACACGTGTAACAACATGACTGCTTTGCTTGCCAACATGGAATGCACAAGGTCAGATCCCACGTGCTGAAGCCGAACCCTCTGCACAGCTCTACACAGTCCCATCCCCTAGACAGCTTCACATCTTTAATAGATGAGCTGTGGTCACGGGTCCTAATATGTCATGTGCCCTCAACCGAGCTTTCCATCCCGGATCATCCCAAAGTTCAAAGCATACTTGCGCAATCCTTGCACCATGTAGACAACAACATCAAAAAATGGCAACACTCTCATCTGCAAGACTACCTGTAGTAGTAGATGCTGTCCGTGTGTGTCGCGGTGGTCGTGATGCTGGGGTTGTTATGGTGGTGCTCGTTGTCATGGTAATGATAGCAGCAATGACAACAATCGTGACAATCGTAATAATAGCAGCGGGTCAAAGCTGTGGAAGTAGTGGCCGTCGTCGTTTCAATTGGTGTTAGAAAAGGGTTTTGAGGCCCCTTATCCTATCAATATAATCAGGAACCCCCAAAATAGTATAGGTAATGATTTAGGCCCCTTTGGGGCTCATTATACTATATTTATAATAAGAAACCCCAAAAATAGTGTAGGCAATAATTTAGGCTTCTACATTACTCCGAGAGCATCGCGCCTGCTCTTCCAGCTTCTGGCCTGCGGCCTGAGCCTCCGCCTCCGTGGCCTCAGCCCCAAGGGGGAAACGGCTCGGTGCCCGTTCGGTTTAGGGTTTAGGGTTTAGGGGTTTTAGGGTTTAGGGTTTAGGGGTTTTAGAGTTTTAGGGTTTAGGGTTTAGGGGTTTCGGGCTTGGGGAGCTGGCCTTGGGAATTTGGGGTGTCGGCCTGTTGCTGTTTAGGTTGCTTGATTTGGCACTCCGAGGAGATACCGGAGTATGTGAGTGGTTGAACTACTGAACAGCACCAGCATGCGCGAGACGCACGGATTGATTGTGCGGAACTGACGCAGCAGAAGTTTGGAGCACTTCTGATAATTGCGGCTTCAACTGTCCCTGCACCCAAATTGGATCCAGAGTACCTCATGACTGCACCCTGGAGCCTTCACTGCCCGATGCTTGTCGTCCAGCATGAAAGCCCCGACGATCATGAAGCGAATGCCTTGCTTAAACCACAATCTGGGACTTTCCGAAAATAAGGGTACCTTATTTTGGGGGGTCCTTATAATAAGGATCCTAGTATTTAGGGTACTATATTAGGGTCCCCTATTTTAGGAAACCCCCATCTACTAACCGTAAACCCTCATGCCTGGCCTGGCATGTCCCTAAACCCTAAACCCTAAACCCTAAACCCTAAACCCTTTGAACACTCCGCTTTTCTTCCTTCAAAACTGTTCCAAAAGTAGGACATGTTTTCCAAAAATGTAGAACTGCCCAAAACCGAAAACCAAAAACAACGCCCCCAAACCCTGTCAGTACCCAGAAAGCCTGTGACCCAAGTATAGTCCCCAAACCCTGCCTTCTGAACCCTCATCCCCCCGCAAGCATGCCTCGTCGAAGTCAATCCGAAGGCCTTCTCGGAAATCTGCCTGCGCCTGGGCCCCAAACAGGTTGATGCTTTCGGTATTGGGGGGCTACCGGTTGAGCGGGTTAGGGCCTAGGCTTCGGATTTAGGATTTTAGATCTAGGGTGAGTCGAGCGTTGCAGGTCTTCAGGTGTTTGGATTCCTTCAAACGGCTACTAGTACCTGAGCTGTCGCATCGCCGGAGCGCCATTTGTGTATGTATGCATGCATGTATGAAAGTATGTGTTACATTTTATATATATATATATATATTATATATATATATACACAATGTATACACACACATATATATATATATATATACAGCCGTCATGCATGGATGCACACCTTTACATAGACATGTCATTAGGCCTTCCAGCACTCTGCACTGTTGCATGAACAGAGACCAGGCTGCACCTTCGTCCAGTCTTCCATCTGCATGTGAGCACGCCCGCGGGTTTTGTAAGCCTCACCCAGTCGGCGCAAAGATGGGATTCGGGCTTCGGTTTTAGGATTTAGGGCTTCGGGGTTTTGGATTTAGGATTTTGTTGGGATTTCGCCAGAGGAAAGGAAAAGAAAAGAGGACTGTTCAGGGAGTAAGTCATGTTGACAATACGTCCTCAACACAAACACAGGAATCAGGCCAGTGCTCCCACAGATCTGTGCAAACCCCAGCTGAAACTTCAGCGTTGCAGCATCAGGCTCTTAGACTCTAGGGTTTGTGTCCTGCCGGGGTGGCGGGGGCATTCTAAACGGTTGTTTATCTTAGGCCGGCTGCACAGAGAAGCCATTGACCCTAACCTCCGTTAATCACATCTGAGCAACTAAACCCCTGCAAGTAACTCAAAATTAACGCTACGTCCTGGCCTTCCCGGAGTCCGGGTTCACCGCAAGCGCGGCATCACAATCCCGCAGGGCTGCACGCGGCCGCTGGGTCCTGGCAGAATGCTTTGGGTTTAGGCCCCAGCTTTGGATCCAACGCGGTTGAGAAGTTCAGCTAGTTAGGACTTGGCTCCGATTATGTGCTTCGTCCGGACTTTCGGCTGGAAGCTCCGGGAGCTGAAGCTCCGTGTGTCTTGTACTAGGGACGTGTGGGGCTCTGGGCTCTAGGTTTTCGTTCTGTTTGGGTTGGGGTTTGTGTTGGGGTCTAGAGTCTAGATGGGGTCCGGGTTCAATGCTTCAGATTTAAACATGAGGCTAGATCGTGCAAGAAGCCCGACGGCTCGACAGTTGACGCAGAAAGTCTGGTGTGACCAGGCTCTGTAGACTTTTGCAGGCAGCCCAATCGATCAAGGCTACACTGCTTAGATTTATCTGGATTTCATAGCGCACCGAAACCCGCTCTCGACTTCTGGGGAACGGCATTCGATGCATTGCACCATGAGATGGTCTGTGCAATCCAGGCCCAACTCAGGTATTTGAACAAGGGTTCGTGCAAGCACTTCCACCGCTTGGAGAGCACTGGTGTTTGTAACCTGGCACGCAACAAAAGATTTGTGCTTGACACTGCTGCAAGTATCATGTAGGGCCGTAATAACTAGAATATGGATTTTGGGAGGGGTTCCTTATTATAATTATAGTATATGTATATATATATATATACCCCCAAAATCCCCCAAACCCCTATTCTAGTCATTGAGGCCCCTACATTACATAGACCGCCCCAGGATGTATCATGAAACCAAGTCACGCCCCAAGCAATCTAATATAGAGGCCTTAATAATTAGAATATGTATAATAAGGAACCCCCAAAATATTATAGGTAATTATTTATATAGGCCCCTAATTTCTGGAGGAATGGGGAACCCCGCAAACAAACTGCACAGAGCCAAGGAACATCCCTGCCAAGAGCACTGGTTGTAGCCAGGGTAGCAAATCTCGCAGTTGAGGTCATTGGGATTGAACCAACAACTTCCCCCGGTGGGGGCTTGGGTGTAAATTGGTGGGGCAGGAGGCGGTGGGCACTCTGGCGCTATCGCGCTCTTTACGAAGTCCACCTGCTGTGCAAAATAGCTCGGCATCGTCGTGTATCCTGGCAGAACTCCATTGCCGCCCTCTTCCAATACCCATATCCCGTCTGCATCCGTGAAATTGCGGCATGCTGCCCGGCGTACCACTTGCTGCATCTCTGCCACTCCAGGCACCCCATAGACCTTTGCTGGGCAACAGGACAAACTGTCTATTGGGCGGACCCAACCCCACACATGCTTACACGACCGCTGAATTTCCAGCCGCAAGTCTGCGAAAGAAGGTTTACGGTTGCAGTTTCTCTGACCCGAACTCGAACCAACAGGACAAAGCAGGGCAAGAAATGCAAACGGAAGCGCAAGCACCACGGCAAAGCCAGGAGGGTACGGCGTCGGGCCTGTGAAAGGGCTGGGATCCTTAAAGCCGCTGGTGAAGGAGTTCAGCGACACTTCGACAACCATTCCTCGATCGCAGCAGTGCTTCCAAGACCCATAGTCGAAGCCTGAAATCTCTGGGACAAAGGGGTCAGGGCTGCTTTCAACAACCTCCACTGTCGCTCGTCACCCCCGGATTTTTCTGGATTCCCGCCTGTGCCAGGGTTGCACATGACCTCGGCAGTAGGGTCCTTGCTCTTCACATAGGCGTAGAGTTGGTCGTAGTAAGCATCATTGCCATTGCATTGGCTGGGATCTGTGGCAGTTTCGTCTACAAAGATCCCTGAGACATTGAAGCAGGCGAAGTAGTTGTCGATGGATTGCTTGACCACGGCCAAAGAGTGGCTGCCCCACTGACTGTACACGTACCCAATTGTGCGTGCGAGCGGGTTGCCATCAAACAGGGTGACTACAGGTCTCCACACGGGGTCCAAAGGCAAGGAACCTTGGCATTGGTTTGCTAGTCCATTGCCTGGATTGATGATCGCAGTTGTGCGCGCCGACGACGTTGCCACTTGTTCGTACATAGACCCAGCCAGCGGTGCCGGCCACTGGTAAATCGGCACGACCAGTTCCATGCCAACCTGCTTCGAGGAACCAGCGATCGTGGCGTACTTAGCTTACAGCCTAAGAAGGGGACGCTAGCTATGTCAGCTGCTTTATCAAATCCCAATGCCGGACCTGCGTCTGAGCCTCGTATGTCTGGTGTGTGGTCTCCGTGCCGGTCTTGTGTTGCAGCAGGCAGCTTTGGCCATTGCAAGGGATTGGCCATGCACTCACAGCCAAAAGAAGGCTCCAGACTCCAAGGCTCATGGCTCCTAAGCTCAGCCGAGCGGCCGAGGATCCTAGGTAAAGTGAACTAGCAGAGATGGCTGCATGTGGTAGACTTCGGAGTGGAAGCCACCAGAATCTAGCAAATTACCGCATGTCGGAACCATGCAATGATGCATGTGAAGATGCACTCATAGCGAAGGGTATACAATGATTCAATGATCTGTCTAGTGACTCTAGTGTATAGGTATATGCACATACATGGACACGAAAAGGTTATAGACAACAACCGCACAGACAGACAGACAGACAGACA